GGATGCTGTACTCCACTTCGCCGTAGAGACCGCTATCGGCGTCGATGGCCTTCAGGTGAGCAACCACGCGTCCAACGATGGCGTGTCGAGACATATTCACGCGCGCTACGGCGCTGCCCCCGGTAGAGGAGGGAGCAGGGAAGACCCAGGCTGGTGTGTGATCGTTGACATCCTCTACACGAACAATCACTGTGGCATAGGCGGAGAGTGGCGGACTGCCGTAGTCGGTGGCTATAACTGTGAAACTGAGGATGGGTGTCCGTTCGCGGTCGATGGGGGCATTGCGGGTGAAGATTTCGCCATTGGAGGTGATGGCGAATAGGGTGCTGGCACGGACACCATCTCGTACGTCCATCTCACTAATGCTGTACTGAATCCGACTATTTCTCAGCTCTGCGTCAGCGTCCACAGCACGGACGATGCCGATCTGCGATAAACGGAAAGAGTGACAGTCGTGTCGGATATGCCGTTAATGAGAGAAGTACACCAAGCATCTACTTCTATTTACATTCCACAGAGTGCTTAAGGAGTAAAGCGAAAAGTATTTGAGTTATCACCTGCTGAGACTGGGAAATGAGTTAGGCAAAAGTAGCTGATGTAGACCCACTCATATACCCTTAGTCTCAGCATTTTATCCTGCAAAAACGGTGGTTATGGAGTTTTGGGGGGTGGGGAAATAGGATAGGCAGAGAAAGAAATTTTGAGAAGTAAGTGTAAAGGGAAAAATGAACTTGAAATTGCTTCCCGCGGCCGCTGAAAGTAAGTTGTTCCGCATGTAAATTGAAAGTGTGCGCGGCGCTTCGCACCGCGGACTATACTAATATAACTCTAGAACGGTAAGTTCGACCTCAGGTAAGTTGTGGTTTGTGGCAGATATTGCTCAGTTGTACAATCATTGTACATCAGTTAAACTAGTAACAGAAGCAAGCAAAAATCTTGAATATTGTTGTGACTCTCTACCCTCAACTCAAAGAGCCTAACCTATTTTATGAGAATTTAACCACCGTATGCAGTTTTAAAACCCGAGGCGCAGTTGCAATGCATTGGGGAACTGAAAAAGGATTTTGAAAACCCGCAACTACCCTATCTTCCAGTAAAAAAACTTAATAAAACATTACTCGACATCCAGTGAATAAAAGGAATAATGTTTTCATGCGTATTGCCCCTAAAATATAGTTTAAGTTATAATAGTATTGAAAAGCATGGGGAAAAACTTTTGCTTTAAAACTTTTACATAAAAAAGACATCCGGTCATGATTTAAATATGTTTAAAGTATCCTGTATGATAATTAGAAATAGCAACCATATCTGAGCAACCATCTTTAATCGTAAACTTATTTCAGAATAATAGCTAACATTTTAAGTGATAGGCCAGTTATAATATTTATTAACGCATTCCGAAGTTCAGCAATGATACCAATCTAAGCATTCAGGAGGTCAAGTAAGGCGAACGAACTTTTTAGGTTAATTCATCATAAGGCAAATACAATAATATAAAGGAGAGTAGAATTGACAAAAGTTTAAGCGGCCAATCAGTCTTAACGAGGGGAAACGAGAGGAGAGGCAAGGATGACGGGACGACATGAACTAATGGTCGGTCTCCTCCCCCTTCTTTGTCGGTCCTCTAATAACATGCACGTGCAACAACCCAAATCTCAAGCAGATAACTTCTTCATCTACATGCAGTCCCTACGCAACTCTTCCAGACTAATTGTCGGCAACTGATTTTATCACAAAAAAAACAGGATGCCAAATATTTCGACAGTTGATGCCAAATGCCGAGGAATGGTTTCAAGGAAAAGATGTTACTTCAGGGCAATTTTCGAGTAAGGAACAACCACCAAAGTTACTGATGATTTACCCAAGCTTGCTTTGGGCGATCGTCCTAAAAGTTAGGAAAATAAAGTATACAATGGCTATGCAGTTAGCAGTAGTTGGGAGTTGTTTTAGTTTGCACTAAAACAGGCTTATCTGAAAAAATTGAATGCGAGTATGAACGTTTGGATGTCTCGTATATATGCATTTTTACTGGCTCACGTGAGACTGTCGTCACAGTCTACGCGAAGTTTACTCAAACAGACAATTGTTACACATTTTCTCACGAATTTTTTTATGTTTATCTGTATTTAAAACTCTCATTAAAGACGCTAAATGGCAAAAATCTTCTACATATATTTGATGAAAGAATTCACCGTTATCAAGTCCCAAACACCAAATACCTAAGAGTATTGTGCAAATTTTGTAGGCTTTACGCGTAATGGAATATGAATTTGCGAAATGTGTATACTATTACGCGAATAGTGGAACTGTCTTCTGACCTGTTAGTATTATTTGTAGGCAGAATAGTTAGGGCCATCAGGTTAGTATGTAGTATTTGAATAATAAATTAATGAGGTTGAAGCTAATAATTACAAATGGGTTTAATAATTAATCGTTTATTTTCCTTTTCTGACGGAATAAATAGGCAAAAGTGTTTTCCGTTAATCCTATTAACAAACTTGTGTTAAAAAGCGTATGAAATCTCTGAAAGTGCAGGTCGCTTAATTCATTATTCGTACCAAATGCGTAAAGGTGATAGTAAAATTTCGCGAAAAGCGATATAAATATTTCTTGTGTGATTGTGGTTTAATCGCCTAGTCAGGATGAAATAACAAAACCAGTTGGCTTCATTTAAAATGACAACGCTTGGAACTCTAAAAGATCCTGCTCACAAAAATATGGACAATTTTATTTGCAATACACAAAGAAAATAAACGGGATTCATAGGAGGTAGTCAGCGAACAATTTTTTAATCTTAAAAGACTTTAGAAGACACTTAGGTTAATGGCAGTAACCTCATGTCTCATCTTCAAAGCGGTTAGCAGTTAACCACTAATTTCAGCAATTTAAAACTTTGATGCTATCAGGCAGAATGAAACCTGAGTATTTTTTTACTGGAAAGCAGAAAGCCCAGTAATGGATGCTAGAGAAGGGTTTAGCTCTAAAACCCTTTTAATTATCTGCATAAAAATCAGTTGAACATTTTTTGCCGCAAAAATATGTGAAGGGACCGCAGGTTCCAACAATTTTGACTAATAGCTAAATGATAAAATTCTCCCGCCGTCATTTATGAATATTTCATTTTCATATAAGTAGCAAATCAGGTTCACTGATGGCTACGTCATCGTGCACTGCTATCTTAATTAAAAAGCAAACAAATTTGGGCTGAAAACGAGTAAGTAAGGCTTTAAAAAATTTCGGCATTTCAAAACTGCATGCGTAGTTCTGTACAATCAGTCTACTTACTTATAGTTGTGATACCGCGAACCTACTTGAAACCTTCGCTGTACTTTCTGCTAGCAATTCATTCGTGGTGGAAGGTGTCGAATTGGCAATTTTCATATTGATACAAATCGGTACATGAAATAAGCCCGTTTTAACTGTAATCTTAACACTGACCGCGAGCTCTTAAAGATAGTTGAATGCACGAGCAGGTTACTTATCAAATTCGTTACTTTCATCTGTTCGGTAAACGTTTTGATTAAGGCAACTATGAAGCCTTAACATTAAAACACTTATTTACTTCATCTCTTTAAACTGAATTTCTCTAGTGAACGAACTTCGCGTATCTTGTTCCTGCGTCTACCACGTACTGTCTAGCGTGATTTTTACGTTATTAATGGACAGGAGGTTTCGGTGTACGATGACACACGAATAAGTAATTACCAACGTTGATTTCGGAATAAATTTTCTGGATAGTGAGGACTAGTGCGAGGGACGATAGCACTTTAATGACTTGGAGGCAATGTTTAGTAAAGGTTAGCCTCTACCGTTTTATGATTTGTCCCACGACGAGAAGCGTTTCTATGGTATCAGCAACAGGACGGACCTCCCATGAGGGGCAGTTTTTTTCTCCTAAAAAATTTCCGCAAATCCCATTCAACCTTCTATTTTTTCCGAAAAATCCCAAGGAATTATTTTCCACAGTCTGCTATTTTTGCTTTTTTTCCACCATACTGACTGGTTTCAAATGATATAGCTAACAAGCTGAGGTACTATTCCCGAAGTAACAACTGCACAATTTTGCATTTTCGCTAATAGATTTTGTGTGAGTATTTCGTTTCGTTTAGATGGACAGATCTGCCACACTCGTTTGTACTTAAATTCAAAGGCCAATTAGGTTAACCAATAGACAACGAAAAAGTGAGCTCTAGGAGAGGTGTGAAAAGGAGAGGATGCGATCGGTAGAAGAAGAGGTATCTTCATCCAACTTTTATGATTCTGAATATAAACCGAAATTTTGAGCGTCAATTTTGAGGAGGTACACTATGCACCCAATAGCAAGGTGACGCGGGGACGGTGCTTGTCGCGTAAATTAGATTATAGTGAGAGCGGATTTGCGCAGCGTCTAACGCACTATCAATCACATCCTTATATGCACACGGTGTCATTACGAGGTTAGGAATACTGGAGGCAGGAGAGGGCATAGGTGGCTGGCGCGCTCGGAGGCGCCCCTAAGCGCGCTGCAAACCTGGCTGGGATCCCACGTAGTGGCAGTGCCATAAGGGCTACATTGCAGCCTGACTCAAAGTCTGCCACTCAGCCACTTAGCCAATCAGCATAGACACACATACACACACTGAGTTGATTGCACCGCCCGAGTTATCCCATCAATTGGCAACCTTTCAAGACACCGCTTTCAGCGAACCGGGCTAGCTTCAACCGAGCCAGCTTGTCTATAGTGTGTGAAAGCGTTGATCCGTGGACACATCGCTGCGCGGAAGCCTATGTCGAATAAAGGACCCCCTACCCGCAAAACAACTAAGTAAAGTCATTTACCGCATACCGCGCGCCGGTTGCCCTTGCTTTTATACTGGCCAAACAGGCCGAAGTGTTGAGACTCGCATCAAGGAACATAAATTATCCGC